CAATGGTAGGGATGAGTTGGACGAGTTGGGAGGTCTTTGTCCATACTTTAGTGTCAGTTACTGGAAGAATAAGTTCCAAGAAGTGACCGTTCAATACCTGTTCAAAGAGAAATTGAGTTCACTTACGGTCAGTGAATCGCAGAATTTGTTGTGTCTATTGTATAATATGTCGATTTCGAGGAATGAGTCCACAGAAAAGGAATATATTTCTACTATAATTAAAGAGATTTTTGAGATCTCTTTACAATCGCCTCAATTAAGTGATAATATGACAGAAAAAGGGAAACATATTTTAGTGAAATTAATCACTCGATATAACTCGTTGTTTAAAGTACTTATTCGTCAACTCCTGGAACACGACTCTAATAATGAGGTAAACGATAATTGTATTTGAATTTTGTTTATAGAGTTACTTAATTTATTTGTTAATTATGACACTATTAAGGCATGCGTTGAGTTATTCTGTGAATTACATATTCACGTGTGGAATCCAGACGACGATGACATAGATTTAATATCTGAATGGCTGATCGCGTATCCAATCGAGCATTTACTCAACAGAATCGCAAGAATAATATTTTCGCGACTCAATTGGTCGTACGATTCGCGAAACAAAGAGCTGTTCATCGAAGTAGAGAAACACCAAAAAGTTGCCGTCGATTTGTTTGCTTCGCTTAATAGTCACTCTCTTATGAAAACTCCAAAGGATTGTCAAAATAGTAATTTAAAAGAGTTTGGAAGCGAAACATTGCTATCGTTGGCTAAATCTGTTAATCCAAATGATTTCACGAAATGGGTTTGGAATCAATTGATTACTTTAAAAGTGCATTCACTAGAACTCAATGATAAAGAGTGGGATTTCCTGTTTGATGACAAACGAGACGGCAATCAAGAAGACGGCAATACTCTTAAATTGAATTTCGATACACTTCTGATCCCCATTTGTCGAGGCCTTGAAGAGCAAANATACTCTTAAATTGAATTTCGATACACTTCTGATCCCCATTTGTCGAGGCCTTGAAGAGCAAAACTCTGTCGCCTTATATTTAGCTCTCGTTATGACAGACTTCGGACAAAAGTTTGTTAAAATAAATAATTATTTCATTAATTTAGTTGTGATTAAATTATTAATTCTCATTCCATAGCAAATCAATGGATAAAATAATTGAATCGCTCGAAACATTGCTGACAAATCAACACAATTTTCCAGTCATCCATCTCTTGTATACTTTGATACCTTTTCATCTGAAACAATACGAATCACTCGTTTCGGTACCAAAACTATTGAATCTTTTGAGTCAATTGATTACCGAACGAACCGATGATTTTGTTGCACTGATATTCCGTCAGTTGTCTAAGTTTTGCAATAAACACAATAAACTCAAACTTCTCATCTGTTGGACTGAAATGCTGTTTGAAGTGATTGGCTCTATATTGCGAACGCACGCCAACTCTTGGTTTAGTTCCGGCGCCTCAAGACTCCAACAAATTGCTTACATATTTGAAAAGATTTCAGTTTTATTATATTTGGACCAAAACCTCAAAGAATTGTATTTCAAATATTTAACGGATAATCCATTCGACATCCAGTCGTGGAAAATACCGACTTCCGGATGGTTTTCATCGGTGTTTAGTTGGGGCTCAAAGTCTAATCAAAAGTGCGAATGGATTACTCCTTTCCATTTGATTTACAAACAAAACGCCAGTAATGTATGGCTCGCTTGGCTTTTCATTCAAACGGATGCCATTCGTTTCGACAAAGTTTGGGATCAAATTGTACACGAAGTCAACGAAAGCTCTGAAGTCGCTATAGAATCACTTGTTAAGGTTTGCCTATTCTTTTGATGTGTTCATTAACTTATAAAATGTTTTATTTTTTAGTCAATTTGTCAAAAAGAAAGTCATTCAGCGATTCCTTTGCCATTACTTCCAATCAATTCGTGGTCAACACTGGCGGTCAATTCGGTGGCCAAACCTCCCCACGTAATGGAGCCGTTTGTTTGGTTCAAATTCTTCCAATTATTCTTCACATGTAGTGATTCGTGTCGTTCTGTCGGACAGACATTTATTTCCGACGAAAAACGCAAGAAATTAATTGTAAAATTAAACAATTTAATTGATTTTCATCACAAACAATGGCTGAAGAGTGAACCAAATGATACACTAATCAATACAACGGACGACGAGTTGACTAAATTATACAGGGCTTACATCCTATGGCTGGAAGACTCTCAACTCCACGAAGTATTTGTTAATACGGATGAACTTCCGCCACAATATCTCAAAGATTTGCTCAAATATGCCA